GGGGCCTTTTGGGCGAGTCTTGCCTGCCCAGCCGGCATCCACCACGGGATGCTCCAGCTCAGAGGAGCAGAGGCACCACTGCCCCACGCTGCCAGCACAGGGGACACTTCCAGTAAACGTGCCCGCTTGTCCCGGGAGGACTGTGGCCTCCCCACGGGCAGTGGGCGGCCGGCGAGTTCTGCCTGCGTCTCTCCTGCCAGGCGCCGTGGTGGCGGGGTGGCCGCACTGGTGTTCTGCTCCTGGCTCGGCAATGATTGCAGGCAGGGCTGGACTTCCTGGAACTGAGCACGGGTGGCCTCACAGCAGCAGGGCGGCAGGGGCCCGCTCCTGTGTGCCGCGCATGCAGATGCTGGCAGAGGCCAGTCTCCACGCCCTCGCCCGCGTGCCCACATGCCGTCCATGTTAGGCCCCTGGCAGACGAGCGCTGAGCCTGGTGGAGATGACGGGGCTGGGCGCATCCTCCGCTCTAAGAACACGCGCTCGTGAGGAGACACGCTCCGTGGGCGACTGGCTCCAGCACTCTTGCCAGACGTGCTGCTCGGTCTTTGTCCCGCAGCCTCAGTGGGCCCAGCCTGCATGGCCTGCCGGATCGAACCCCAGCTACATGCTTTCGTGTGTCCGAGGCCAACCCTTGTCTGCCATGTGATGGCCGGGCCTGCCCTAGTCAGGCGACAGTCTGGGCCTGGGGTGTGCGGGCAGTCCTTGGCAGACAGACCGTAGGATGCTCTGGCCGCTCGCCAGCAGCTGGCAAAGTGTTCGTGCCGACTAACACCGGAAGGTCGTCCTTGTCTGCCTTCGTTCTGGCTCTGTTTTCCCTTGTGGAGGGAGGGGAGAGTGACACGGGTGTTCTGACAGGGTCTCCCAGCCCCCACTGAGCGAGGACCACAGAACTGATCCGGGCCTCCCACGCGGAGCCCACGCGGCACTGCTGCCGTGTGCTGCTGTGGCCAGGCCGCTCAGAGGGGAAGGGAGGGAGGTGGCATGGTGGCCGCAGTCTGCTCTCTGCTCCTCCTTCCCATCAGAACTTTTTAAAAAAAATTTTTTTTAAGTGTTTGGTTATTTATTTATTTATTTATTTTAATTTGACCAGAGAGAGAGGGAAAGTGAGAAAGCAAGCCACCAGGTCCAGGACTTGGACCGTGGTTGGCCATGTGGGAGTCCAGCGCCTTAACCCCCGCGTCTCCTGCTGGTCCCCCATCAGGACTTTGAGCATGCGCGTGCATGCACCTGGCATGTGTTTGCAGCTGCCAGGGCTGGGAGCCGGCCACGTGGCTCGGCCTCCTGGCCACTCTGCCACAGGACCAGCCCTCCTTGCTTTGTACTTCATTGTTTCTGCCCCTTCATTTTTATCGCTTTAGTAAACATTTGTCTGAAGTGGATTGGAAATAGAGCAAAGGAACCTGCCCCAGGCGGTGACTGTCCTGGAGCTCGAGTCCTGGGTCTCGGTGGAGCGTGGGGTGAGAAGGCTGGCTGCCAGGGTGGCGGGTCTCGTTGCGGCCAGCTTCCTCGCAGCCTGGCTTTCAGCACAGAGCCGAGGCCACCTCGTGATGCTGCCTGCTGGAACCCAGCTCCTGACCGGTGCAAACCGTCTCTGCTGCCCCCCCACCCCGGGTGCTGGCAGGCACCCCCTGCTGTAGGCTGAGGACGGGTGGAGAGAGCCCGGGAGGGTGGGCTGGTGTGGCCAGAAAGCATCATCCAGGCCATGGCGTGGTCAGATAGATGGGGTGGCATGGAGGGAGAGCCGGAGCCCCGCCACGGGCACCTGACGCTCGCCCTGCCTGCCCAGCCACGGCCGTGCCCTCCCCGCACGCCCAGCAGGCCCTGGACGAGCTGCTGCTGCACAAGGAGGACGAGCGGCGTGC